TGGGTGTCCAGTTAGGGTAGGGTTATCATATTTTAACTCCCTTCTCTTAAGGACATATTTTGGTAAAAACAATCCTTTTTCAAAGTATTCTTTTGCAGATACGCGATACTCTTTCGGAATCATATGAATGTAAGTTGATATACCATCGGATGAACCGGGATCTCTGTCAAACATGCCGGATCTCTGAGCAGACAAATGAATGGAATTATGCTTTCCAGTCTCGCATTCCATTTCTCTCCACTTTCCCCAAACCTCTTTCATCATTTCAAAATCTTTCTCCTCTATATCCAGATGATTGTTTGTTTTACCTTTCAGCGTTTCGACAGTGTGTTCTATAAGTTCATTGAGGGCTGACATCAGGAGATGGAAATCTTCATCCGGGAGTTGAATCGAATACCATATATTCGTGATTGAGGCCTCAATATATTTTGTTGAGCTCCAAGTTATCATCATATATAGGAACAGTACACCTCTTGCTAAAACAAATGGATCGATGACGTTTAGTGTAAACCTGATGTTACCAGTGAAGTTGCTTGGAAGCGATGCTGTTGTTTTTTTTCTCTTTTGTGGGGTCGTCCCACTTTTATTTGTTCCATGATTTCTTTGAACATAAATATTGTTTTGTTACTATTGACATATTTATCACTTATTTTAAATTAGTACTATTATTCTATTTCCTTTCCAGCGATGCTGTTGTTAGCAGAAGATTTCGCAAGTCTCCAACACCAGCGAATAAGATGTTGTAATCTTTTGCAAGTTGAGAAGCAACATTTTTTGAAGATGGTTCAGCTTCATTGAGACCTAGTTTCAGTACATCGATAGCTAGAGTGTTCCCGAAAAGTAAGGGAAATCATCTATCGTATGCATTTCATTAAAATTCTGAAGATGGAGTCTGTGACTTTCAGTCATATGGCACTTAGAAGGCTTTGGGGTCATGTTGTTCTCATTGCACCAATCATTAAGATCATTAAGCATCTTCTGCATTGAAGGTCTTGCTCCTTTATTAACAACCTCTCCCAGGGTGAGGTCGTCTACGTATTTCCACCTTCTTCAGCTTCCGATACATGCATCACTAATGCGCACCAAGAATAACACAGGGCTAAGATTTGTCCCTTGCGGGACGCCACGAGTGATCTTACTAGAAGTCCGGCATGCATGGTATTCATGGTACGATCAGTGAGGAAGCTGAAGATGGTAGGAATTATAGACGACCTCACCCCGATGTCAATTAACTTCTTAATTATAAGAATGGAATGGTCTACGAGATCAAAAGCCTCGGTGAAATAAATTCCACACAGATTAACATAGGTTCCACCACATTCAAGATCTTTAAGGACTGCGTCAATTAGGCTTATAAGGTAATGAATGTCTATGATTTCTTCCTACTTCCAAATTGTCTGGAATCTAAACTAACATTAATATCCTCCACGATCCATTTAACTAAAAAGTAACGTCCCTACCCTTAGATGCATAGTTTGATTAGGGTTGTGTATGTTTGTCACATGGACCTTAGTGTGGAGTATGTCACTACCCCCAAGATCCATAGTACCGTACTATATTATATTGTTTTTTGCAAATTAGCTCTTGATAACTTATGCAAAAATAAAAGACTATATTTTATGATATCTGTTTCTTAGTTTTAATATTACTGTTTAGACGTTCAAAAAGAGTCTATAATATGAATGGCTTGCTACACTAGATCGTCATAGCTGGGGTCTGCGGGCCAAATTTGGCAATTTTTTCTGGCCCGCAAGACAAAAAAAACTATTAAAAGAAACTAAAACTTACTTTAATAAAACGAGGACCAATATGGAAAACTGAGAAATGTTTAAACCCCACCCAAATTTAGAGTTAAATCTGTTACCAAAAATCGACAAACGCCCAATATTGGTAGTTTGAGTTGAGCTATGGCACCGTACTGGTACAAATAGCTATCCTTTTAAGACACAATTGGCTGATATTGACTTGCCGTTGTCACTACAAACTGTTTTTAAAACTATATAATATATAAAATGAACAGACACCAACACTTTCATTATCATAAAGGAGAGCAATATAATGCAGTAATTTATATAAAGTAGGTTAAAATTAGTGACGTTAATATCGAGGTCACTTACTAGAGCTTTTGTTGAAGTCATTTCTGATAAAGTTTCATCTATCTAATTGGTTTTTCTTCACAACTCGGTTAAAAACAGATGGAATTCTTCTGCCTCTTCTACATGACGTAGCAGATTAAAAAGTTAGATCTTAATCATAGACATGTTTATTATGAGTAGACACGAGATCTTACAGGTGAAGTGTGTTTTTAGGCTGTAAAGGACATTCTTCTGGTTTATCAGGAAAATAAGCTCCCGTAGGCAGGCGAGATGCAGAAAGTGCGGTCGCACCCTCTTCTCCCCTTTCCTCTCAAATTCCAAGAGGCCCACATTTTTCAACCTTACACTTTTAAACTAATGTAAACTGAATATATCTGTCTCTTATACACATCTAGATGTATATAAGAGACAGCCACTTTGTATCTCAC